CAGCTACGGCAAGCACTAGTCATATATTTGAATGTTGAGCAGCGAGCTCATTGGCTGCTGATACAGGAGAGAACCAATCAGCTGTGCCATGTGATAATGTTGTCATTAGGTCAGATTGAGTTAGACCTATCGGACTGCGCCATCTAGAGTTTCATGCCAGAACTCTGTATTTCCTATGAATTTCGCTATGAATCAATTTTGAGTTTATTGATAATTTTTTATACTTGAAATTTAAGTTTAAGTACCTGTTAGAGTCACTATGTATTGTTTTGTCACCTATCAGGTTTTTAACTTTCAAAAGGAATTCAGAGAACAAAAGTGGACTTCGGTGGCTTTTATTCCATTTTATGCTAGTATACTACTTAAAATTGACAAAATTAACTTTAATCAGACTTATAACGATTCAAAATATACCGTTTTTTTTTTACCTATAATACAAATTTGAATCCATAAATGTCAATCTAACCCTAAAACCCCCTGTGTCTGTGCTTCATGGCCTTGATTTAAATAAAACATTTCTGACTATTTAAAAATAAAAAGATTTTTTGATATATCCTCCCCAACTTCCTGTTTCAATAGGAAGTATATCAACACAGGAATGAAAACTGCATTCATTTCATGGTCATATCAAGGTCTGATAGGTTAAAGACTAATTGCCTAACAGGATTATTGTTACACTCTAATAGATATGCTACATGAAGATGTCTGCTCACCATTGTGTAGAAGTTGCTGTTGACCATGATGGGGTCCCGTCCTCTCAGGTAGATGTACTCCTCCCACCAATCACTCACCTGTTAACACACACCAGCAATTATAAAAGGGTTTCCAAGGGTTTATAGTCCACTCATGTAGAAGATCTCTGGCTTTGTTTACTTACATAATTTGTCGCCCACCAGGATTTGAGTTTGAGGTGTTTTTGGAGTTTGGGTGCAGGATCCTTTTTGAAGTCATTAGCAACAATCTCCATCTGTTTATATTGCTCATCATCCAGAAGAGGTCGAACTGATTCAAGATACTAAAACAATAAAGAAAATAAATAATATAAAGGAAAACAGCCGATAGAGTGCAGTGTAATACTCCCAAAATAAAAGGAAAAACAAATTGATGGTGATTGCTTTTCATTTCTAGTGCTTTTAATCCCACAATGCAGTATAAATAAATAAATAATAAAATTAACATGAATTTTTTATCTTTAGATTAATGGGTATAATGTAACCAGCACTCTTGATAGCATTATATATTCATGACAGCTGATGATATTTTACCCTGTTGATTGTGTCATCAATGCTCGGTACTGGCAGATGGGGCAGAGATGCCTGGAAGCTGTAGAGCAACGGTCGCCGACCGGACAACAGCTTTACAAGACTCTAAAACAGACAGAATAAATCATAAAACTAGCCACTTTTTAAACTGCACTATACATATGTTTTATTTCATGGGAGACGCACCAGCCAGACTTTAGTAGAGAAACTCATTTTGCCATGTGACTCAAAGATCCAGCCGTGATAGGACAGGAGAGCTTTCAGGATGTACCGCAGCAGAAAGATGAATGATAACCACAGGCCTGTGGCAAACAGGATGGCACTCAACACCGTCTGAGTCTGAACGGTCATAAACTCACTACGTGGGAAAAAAATATTTAAAAGTTTTATATATTAAAATACAAATTATTACAAAAATTGATTCTACACAAGGCCATCTACGCATGTTGTTCTTTAGGACTATTTGTTTCAAAGCTGCTTTAATCATGCATGACACTGGCTTAGATTTATGTATCTGTGTTTATATGTAACCATCATATCCATACATAAAGTTTCCATGAATGCGTTCGTAAGTTACCTCACAGGTAGAGATGTCTTGATCCTGTCAATCATGCCCATAGAGGGGTCGATCCTGGCATACATGGTGCTCATTATTGCAATAACTACAATTAACCAGCTGGAGGGACTGGCGGGGTACACACCTGTGAGAACGCCATTCTGTTCAAAATAAAATAAAATATTATTTTCATTAGATAGATAGATAGATAGATAAATAGATAGATTCACCTTGAAGCGGATGGCACGTTTCTTCCATGATGTCACTCCAGATAGGTAGATGTGTTTGAGAACCTCACGGCTCAACTGTAGGTCAATGCCATCAGGTGTGACGGTGAACTGAAATGCCACTGCCTGATGAGCCTCTGCCATTATACAGGCTTAAAGCACAGCCTGAGGATTGAGATCATAATAAATGAGGTCATAATATAGTATCTTTAGCTAAATCTCAGTTTATGCTGTGTTTACATGCCATTTTCAGTTTGGTTGGTGTAGTCTGGTGGAAAGAGTTGGGCTAGTAAGGGAAAGGTTACGCTACGTGATGGATTATCACCATTGTGCTATTTGTGATACTTAACCTGAATGTTTCTGTGATCAGTGTATTGTAAGTCAATGTAGATACAAGCATCAGCTAAACTAATAAGTAAATAAATGAATGTCGTAAACTGCTTAAATTATAATAAGAGAATTTATGTCCTTATGGAAGGCTTGAGGTTGAAACCTGGCAGGGGAAAATTTACGCACTGTATGATCAAAGACAGGTCCAGATCTGCAGCTGGAAATATCCCATGAAATTTATGAATTGGAGAATTATTAAGATCAATCACCACTGTGCCATTTCACCTCAAATTGCTCCAAAGAGAATATGCTTTAACAAGATTCTTGCAAGTCTCTTCTAGGTTATAAGATTCTGATAAATGACAAAAATGCATTTATTAGAAACTATATAGGGACCGATACAGGACATGTATTCCTCTGAAGTCACAGAGTTCAGTTATGCCATGACACTGTCAAGCTTATGTTTCTTTTTCCATGTCATATGACTGCAGCCAGAAGAAGTGGGGCAAAGTTGAACAGTCAGAAATAACGTAGTAGGACATCTGAGAGGGCTGGGCTCATATGTGATGAAGTTTCAGTTCCAAAACACACGTGACATCTGATGCATGACTGCGTAGATGAGGAGATTTTTAAAAATAGTATATGCAAGTTGCTAAAAATACACTTTTTATATTAAATTGGACACAGATATTGCTATATGGTAAATTTTGTGGATCATACTGTATAATAGTATAAATATAAACAATATGTCAATTTCAAACACAAGTATGTGGTGCAATAAAAAAATGACATTGAAAAGCATATTTAAAAATTGTACTTTAGTAAAACTTTAACAGTACTTAAATATTTACTACGAAGAAAATATTTGTGATCACCAAAATAATAATTGATACTTGGAAGTACTTTGATGAAAAATGTGAGATGTACAATTTTACGGAGACAAAATAGACAAGACAGACTCTGATGCAACTACACAACTCAATTTAGCTTAATCATGAAAGATTATCAAACAGAAAAATTCAAAATACCTCAAAAGGATTTTAATAAGAAATATAATGAACTTACATTACCTGCAACACTTCAAGTCAGATGAAACTCAATGGATAATAAGATACAATTTTCTTTCAGTAGGGCTGGAATGTCCTTTATGGAAGCAGACTGTTCTTCACTCTTGTGCCTTTCCCTCGACTCCTCATGTACTCTATAGCACAGTGACTAGTTATCTCCTCTTCTACTCAAATTTTCTCCTCTCCCTCCCTCTCTGTTTTCCTTTATTTTGCGAGTTGCCTGTTTTCTGAGTGTTTGCTTTCTTCTTCTAAACTACCTGTTACATAGTGGCCCTCATAAATGCTCGCTCTCGTTCTGTGTATGTGTAACTAGATACTCTTAGGGCAGAGTTAAACTGGTGGCTGTACAGTCAGAACAAACTGTATGATCAAACACAGGCTCAAATCTTAACAGTGCAGCTGGCAATATCCCAAGGCTGCATGCCAGAACATTCTGATGATTGTTGTATGAGACTGAGAGACTTTATGTACATGTAGGGATGTGTCTTTGTAAAACATCTTTGAAATAAGGCTTGTGATTGTGTTATGTAATAGGTCAGGCATCTTAAAGACACATTTTTTAATATTGCATAATAAGGAACTTGATGGACGATAGCAGAAATGTGGATTTGTATATTTTGTTGAGAAAATGTGAGCGGTGCTTACTTGTCCAAAACCTGCTGCCATAATGCCAGGGTGTTGTAATGTGTTTGCTAATGTGTTCTGATTGGTTTTAGGTGGTTGCTTACTGATTTCAGGTAAAAGGATCCCACCTCAAAGTTTCTATACTTTTGTGGGCTGTAGCTATGGCTTGGTTTTTCTTTCAATGTAAATTTATTACCCCCTCACATTTCACATTATCAGGTGAAATAATTCTGATTACTTAGAAAAGTAATGACACACCTCCCCTCAAATATTTGGGGAATCATTTGTGTCCAAAGCATAGATAGTTCTGAAAGGGTTATGTGCAAAAATTACACAAGTTTAAATGTCTGAAAAACTTAAACTTAAAGTATGTACAAAGGTAATGGTTGCATCTTAGCAAGCACCACTACAATTAAAGTACAAGTACAATTAAAGTGTACTGTCTAAACTTAAATTATTACAATAACAGGTTCTCACAAAATGCTTTACTTTATACAAGTTGATACATTTATTTATGAGAAATATTTTGTTACATTTTGTTGCAATTAAACAAGAAGAAAAAGAAGGTCAGAAGTAGAGGTGGGAAAGGCTCTCGTGGCAGGTGGTGACAGGAAGTGAAGAAAGAGGACAGAGGGGCAATGAATGCAGGTTCAGTTTAACTACAGAATTGTCCTTCATCCCTGACATGTAGACCTCATTATGCAGAACAGTGCCCTGGCCAATTAAAGAGGTCTTCTCTATTGCTCTGATACGGCCCCACTTCTGAGAGTCCGCACAGAAAGATGTCACCATGGTTTTAGAATTGTTCCCACCAATTACAACCAACTGACAATTGGCAGCACCCAGGATGTGCAAGACGGGGAGGTCTGCACTGGAGCGGGTTAGTGTGGGGAGCAGTTCAAACCAGCAGTCTTGAGAGGAAGAGAGAATTGTGGCAAAGAGGACAGGTTAAAGTCAGCATGAAATGGAAATTCACCCTATATATTTTCTAAATGCATCTTATTGATCTTGTAAATGATTTATCCATGCATATGACTTGTTGTCTGCTGGAAGTTTCACTTGAATGTACGTCACAACACTGTTAGTTCATACTTCGAAGCCAGAGGCTAATAGTCAACCTTGAGCAACCTTATATCTTGAGCAAGGAACTCAAGGGCAACAGCTAATGGATCAACCCTGAATGTTGTCTGAACCTACAACCTTTCGGTTACCACCTCAGATCTTTAATCACTAGGCTACATCACACCAAATTGTACCTTGTCTAGTATCGTAACGCAGCACCAGTTTCTCTCCAGTTCTCTGGATGTTCCCCAGTACATAGAGGCAGTGTCCCAGGCTGGTTGTGAGTGGGGAATCATGGGAAAGGGACAGGCTGAACTGGAAGTCTGTCAGAGGGAGAGAGGAAACAAATTCCCAGGTGTCTTTCCATGGATCTTACCTCTCTACAGCGGTGTAGATACCTGTACTGGAGACAGGAGTCACAAGGGAATCCAGATACCAGACACCCACAGCAAAGATTCTCCCTTCACACACAGCTGCACTGAAGTGACGCCTGTGCTGAGAGGGATCATGGACAATCACATTTGAACGTTGACTTTATTCTTGCATATCTGATACCTATCAGTTGGGAAATGTGGGTTTTGGGAATGAGACCTTAAAGGGATTGTTCACCCAAAAATGAAAATTCAGTCATTAATTACTCACCCTCATTTTGTTCCAAACCCGTAAGACCTTCGTTCATCTTCAGAACACAAATTAAGATATTTTTGATGAATTCCAAGAGCTCTCTGACCCTCCCATAGACAGCAAGGATCCTAACACGATCAAGGTCCAGAAACGTAGTAAGGACATCGTTAAAATAATTCACGTAACATCAGTGGTTCAACTGTAGTTTTACGAAGCTAAGAGAATACTTTGTGCGCAAAGAAAACAAAAATAATGACTTTATTCAACAATTCGTCTAACGTATCTGCGTACATACATTGCATACGTTGTTTACGTATGTGATACTCTCCGAAATGCCACCAGGGTGACGCGGAGGAGACGAATTGTTGAATAAAGTCGTTATTTTTGTCACATGGATTATTTTAACAATGTCCTTACTATGTTTCTGGACCTTGATCGTGTTAGGATCCTTGCTGTCTATGGGAGGGTCAGAGAGCTCTCGGAATTCATCAAAAATATCTTAATTTGTGTTCTGAAGATGAACGAAGGTCTTACGGGTTTGGAACAAAATGAGGGTGAGTAATTAATGACAGAATTTTCACTTTTGGGTGAACTATCCCTTTAAAGGACAATATTTTCCAGGTTATACTATTATAGGTCATCAGGTTGGAACATGAAGAACTGGTTTGTTACTGGTCAAAGGTCTACTAGACCCAACCAGCTTGACCAAGATGGTCTTGCAGCGCAGTTAGGTACCCACCTGCTTGTAATTCAGCTGGGCACCTATTTAAACCAACTTGGACCAGCTAATGACCAGCTTGAAACCTTAAGAGTAGGTGAGTGTACTTTCATTGCAAAGATATTGACGTCTATCCTAATGTTCATACCTTAATCAGAGGAGCTGTCGATACCCACTGATTGGTAAAAGGGTTGTAGCGGAAGAAAGCCATCTTGAACTCATAACCCTTCTTTACACGGTGTCTATAACCCCCTTTGAGATAGAGGTAATTATAGAGAACCGCTGTGGTGAAGCAACACTTATCGGCACAAAAAGGCAGATCTGTGAGAGAACTCCATTTCCCATAATCCTTGTCTTCCTCCAGCCTGAAAAGCTTTCTAGCAGCATCTGTTTCCGGGTCATTCCTTGAGGTCAAGTTCTCCTTCCTCAAGTTCCTGGAGTTCCATTTGACCTTAATCTGAGAAGCTCTGCTTTAAGGTGTGGATCCAAGCCCTTGCTCAGGTGTGGATGCTCCAGTAGATACTTGCTCAGATAGGTTAGCACAGTCTCTTGGAGCTCCTCACTGCAGAGTTCCTCAGCCAGCCGCAGATAGCCCAAGCAGGTGTGCTCCGTTAAGGCCTGAGAGAGGGCAATCAGTAGACGATTGGTGAACCCGGAAGCAAGCAGGAAGGTGCACACCCGTAGGTGTTCCACAAGGAGATCTTCAGGAACACATAAATAATGTAGGAAGCAGAATTGTAGAAGGTTGTGGAAGACTGGAGAGGGAACATGTTCAAAGTGCACCAGCTGTTCAGACGTCTCTCTCATGCAGGAGTGGGAAAGAGCCTTGAATTACTCACTGCAGTCTGCAAGCTTCTCCAGATCCACCTAGAAGTAAGTGCCAATAGGCATGACATCACCTGTTTGTGGGTCAAGGTTCTGTGGTTTATGTGTATGTCGTTGTAGATACTCACATGGAAAGTATGTGTGCTGGTTTGCACCATTACCATTGGTCCTTTGCTCTGGTGTCGATAGGTCCTGTACTCTTGATTTGTTCTCCAGACGTCTGACTGTAGGTTATCAGACTCCTCTTGTACAGCACCAGAATCTGCCTGTCTGAACTGAATCCAGTTCAAACTACTTTTGAAGCTCAAACATCTCCGTATCTGTTCTAAACTTCTTTTCAGCCATGTGCAAGTACATTAATGCAACAACTATAACCTGCCATAGATTAGCCATGTTCCCATTTAGGTAGAATACTCTTTAATACTTGTACGACTTAAAAGGTTTTGTATGCTTCTTCCACTGCGATTTGAATGCCTGACTCACAATCCCAGCCAAGGCCATGTCATTCCATGGTGGATGGAGGATAAATCCAGCCTTTTTTTTTTTGGTAGATCATGCATGGTTGTTTTCAAGGCTCAATATGGCGCCTGTGTGCCAGAGCAATCGCAGTAGAGCTATTTTAGGGAATCGCTGGAGCAGGAAACAAAATATGGTGGGCCCTGCTGTTCAGTCTACTGAATTACACAACACTTGAACCATGTTGGGAACTGATGATGCTCGATTAATATACTTTATATGGATCTGTTTAAAACATTCTTAATTTTTGAACTGGTACAGTAGTAGTGTTTTGAATAGTGCATTATCTTACACAAAATATATTGTTAAAATATGATATGACAGAAATGATCAAACTCAAAACAATGTCTACATCTCTGTAGGTCACCGTTGCTTGGAATGGAATTCGAAACCTTTATGCGAACAACTCAGATCTTTAACCTTCAAGTTACTCCTAAATATTCAAATACAACATTCACACCAATGTCAGCATGATTTTTTTTAATGAGCAAAATTAATGGATACCTACATGGCAAAGGAACAAAATAAAACATACCAGAGACAAGTCTACAGTATAACTTGAATTAGCCAAAGCAATTATAGAAGTTAACATTAGTTCTAACAGTGCAATTGCTTCTCAACTCAATATTAAGAATCACAGATTCAATATCAACAATGATATTGGGAGCATGTTAAAGTAGCCTAGCTTAAAATGTTCATGGTCCCTCAATATTTCCTTTGTCCCTGAACTTGCTACAACATACGGGAAAGAAAGCATTGTGAAAATTATACAGATACATTTGTTTATAGATGGGGACAAATACAAGAGCATCAATTTGACCATTCAGATTCTCCCAATATGATTCCAACAATGTACCATGATTCTTAAGATGATGATCCCACTAATTCACAGTATAATGCTACTATCCTTCATTTGTATTATCAGCAGCTACTTAAAAGAACTTTGTGTTTAGAAAGGGGACAAAGGCATTTGTCAGTTTAGTAATTAAACTTCTGTTCTTGAGGTGGTATTTCCTTTATGTGCAGTTCAGACTATATTTAAACCTATGTACAAATGTATAGAAGATGGCTGTAGACAATAGTTATTGCTACATATCAATATAGCTGAGCAAAGACTGGTCAAATCCCAAGTAAAACACAGAAAACATAGCTCGACATTATTTCCTATTATTAATACTTTTTCCAATTGAAAGTTAAATGGCATCAAAATCAGGAAGAAAGAGTAGTTTATGTGCCATTCTGAAACGAATTAATTGACTCCTGAGTTTAAAAAAGACGTGCAATGTATTTCACAGTATGTAAATATAGGAAGGATGCAATAATTTTGCAATGTTTTAAAACACTGGGGAGGGAAATTAAACAAGCTACAACGCTGCTTTTGTTTTCAGATGAAAGTACAAACAAATATAGTATTTGAAACTAGGACACAAAAATGAAGATATATCACTGGACCCTGTGGTTTACACGGTAATTATGATGGACGGATTGATTCTTGATAGAATTAATAGATAATGTTGACCACACACAAGTTTCAATATTCCAAAAAATGCAGTTACATTATTATAAATAAACTGACAAAATGAATTTTACAGTTCGCCTTGTACAATAAGGAGGTACGAACAGTACGTGAATTGTATCTAGGTTTCAGTCACAAAATTCTATCCCCCCCCATTTGCAGATAATTTGTAACTTTTTACCTTCTAATTTTTTGGAAGGGATAAGAACAACTATAATAAAGCCCTACAAAATGTGACTTTAAGGCAGGTTATCTTTGGACTTTTCATTATTTAAAATTAATGTTCCCCAGGATGAACCGTTCTATAGCAGTCTTAATTGTTTTGTACTGTGCCCTTTCTTGAATTTTTTATTTTTTTTAAATCAATACCTAAACAACAGGTGATGCAAAATGATGCATGTGCTGTATGTCACAATTTAGGAAAAGAGTTTCTTCTGTTTGAAGTATGTGTCAAACCTGTGCTGTGCATAGTCCTGGGGAAAAACAAAAGAGATAGAGACAGAAATGAGGTGATATAGCTTTTCTGTTTCACATGTCTTCAGATCAGTGATG